ATAAAAAAGTGTCGGTTGATTCGATACGTTTCCGAGCCACGTTGTCGGAGTTAGTTCCCCCAGGAGCAGGGCGGCTGCTTTTCGTTGGGGAATCTGGACGTTAGCTTACCTTTAAGGAGCTATTTCATCGAGGAGATCGACTGGACTCCTTTCCGGGAAGTCTGACTGATTTCGGGTTTGTGTTTTGCGTTCCAGGTAAAACGTTTCTGGACATCACCTTCCGGACTGCCATCACAAAAGAATAAGAAATGAGTGTTGGATTCATTGGAGCCGGCCAGTTGGCCTTCGCTTTAGCCCGAGGCTTCACAGCCGCAGGTGAGACTTTCCCCGGGGGGACAGGTAGCTCTGCTGTGGGGTGTGTTCTTCGCGGGTGACTCGGAAACGTTGCTGGGAGCTTCAGTTGCTGCAGTGTTTGCAGACCAGTGTCCTATTGACTGGCCAATTTATTCCCTTGGGGGACCACACGTCTTGGTCTCCATCTCCTTTCTTGGCCCTGTATAAGACCATAAGAAATCGGAACATGATTAGGCCGCTCGGCCCCTCAAGACCACTCAGTAAGATCATAGATGACCTGATATTCCTCACGTCCACTTTCCTGCCCTTTCCCTGTAACCCTTGGTTTCCCGACTTCTCGTTACCTGTGCTATGTCTGACATCACATCTTGGGACCAGTCACATCTTCTTTCAGTCCAGCCTGAGCGAAATGTTATTGGGATTGTGGTCAACTCCAACTCTGGCCTATTGCCACCCCTTCCTATGGCTCAGCGCCCTCTATTTCACCATTTTTTTTGTCTCCCCCGCCTACTAAATCATTCGTAACTTTAATATCATGCCCCTGAACCTCCCTTTCCCACTCTCAGCGTAAAAGTGCTCTTTGTTAATGTTGCATCCCTCCACCCATGACCAATGCTGACCTTATTAGGTGATACAGACTCTAATTCTTACATTTCACCACTGCAGCAGGTTCTGTCTCTGGCTGCGCTCATTCCACTCAAAAGCTGATTTTTGATTCACTCGTGTTCATTTTGGACATGGTTAAGCCAGTGTGTGAATTGCTGCTCCCAATCTCTCTCCCTCCTTCTATAAACTTGAGCTTGCCCCAAACTCTACTTCAAGTGATTTGTTCTCAAACCCACCACTGTTGTCCTTGCTGACATCTTTGGACTTGTGATTCACTGAGGAATTGATTCTGGTCTAGAAATAACTCCTTTCCATATTGTGATCTTGTCCCATTGTGTAGTCCTTTGAGCTCTCCAGTGGTCCAACATCAGCTGCCTCCTCCTGCTAGATGCCACCAGCAATGACAGTCTCTGTCATGCTGTTCGCAGCTTCCTTCTGATATTTTCAAACATGTCCTCTAGACACATCCTCGAAACTGAAATTTTAATCATCCCTCTTAGTCTCTTTCTCCTCTCTGGTTTGATATTTTATTCCTGCTGTGACTTAGGCAGTACTTTTTGAGAGGTTTTCCTGTGTTTATAGACCTTCTCATGTAAGGTGATGTCGTTCAGGAGCTATGATGTATGATTGTTTAGAGTGGTGGCTGAAAGCTTCTATTCAGAAGAAGGGTTGTCACTCTTCTTTCTTTTAAGACCAAGCATTGTTACCATAGGTTAATCCACTGTTCTTGTTCACAGGGATGTAGCTGTAAGGCAATCTGTGTGACACCAGTAGCTGAAACTCAAGTAATTTGCTTATTGGTTCCTTTTGTGCATTGCATAATGTTCCCCGTTGTTTTGGAGCTGATGAAACTGTAGAAAATAAGATGCTGAGTTTATTGAAGGTTCTGCTCCTGCTGGTGGGATACAGACTGGAGTTGGAATCTCTCTCAAGACGAGAGTGAGGACATTGAGGGTTTGTAATCATAGTAAGTCTATTGCACAGAGAGGCCTTAGTACACTGGATCTATGCCAGCTGGAAAATGAATCAACCAGCTTCCTCCACTTCCCAGAATTTAGTCAATGGCCCAACAGGTTATGCCATATAATCCAGATTCCTTTTAAGAGTGGAGGGTTTCTGCCTTGCCTTTTTTAGGCAATGTGTCCAGACCCATACCAACCTCTTCCTTTTAATGTTTCTGCCAATCGCTTCTTAAAATCTAAAGTAAAGTCACTGTAGTCCATAGGACTGTTTGGAGAGTTGACTGTCCCTGATCGCTAACCTCACTGCTGAGGTGAATAGTTTCTTCCATTCACTCTAGTCAGACTTGTCTCTCACCTTTGTAGACCTTACTCAAATCCCCAACTCAGCCTCCTCTCTTCAAAGGAGAAAAACTTCAGACTACCCAATATTTATTCATCGCTGCATTTTGCCGGTTCTGGCAACATCCTGGTAAATCTTCTGTGCACCCTGTCTAATGCAGTTGGATCTTTTCTGCAGTGTAATGACCAGAACTGCATACAATGCTTTAGTGGCCTGACTAATGATTAACATGATTCCAGCATAATTTTCCCACTCTTTTATATTCTGTATCTGGGCAGCACAGTGCTGCCTTACAGCACCGGGAACCCGGGTTTGATTCTGCCCTCTGCGACTGTGGAGTTGGCACATTCTCCCAGTGTCTGAGTGGGTTTCCTCCTAGTGCTCAAGTTGGCTCCCACAGTCCAAAGATGTGCAGGTTAGATGGATTGGGCATGCTAAAGTGCCCGTTGTGTTCAGGTATGTGCAGACTAGGTGGATTAGTTGTGGGAAATCCGGGGTTACAGGGATAGGGTAGGGGTGTGTCCACACTGTAGACTATCAATATATAAAAATACAAGCAGAGGAATCCTTATGCTTTCTTAATTGCCTCATTGACCTGCCGTATCTTCAGGAGTCTGTAAATATTCACGCCAAGATCCTGTACTTCCTTGAAACAACTCAGCCACCTTCCACTAATTGTGTTTTTCTCTGCCTTGTTTGACCTTTTAAAGTACACCACCTCTCACTTCAAGTTGAATTCCATTTGCCACTTTTCTGCCCACCTGATCAGTCCATTGATACCTTTCTGCGCTGTACAACTATTCTCCAAAATATCAATCAGGGGGCCTATTTTTATGTTGTCTCTGAATGTCTTGAACATGCTTCCCACATCTCTGTACAAATCTCTAATGTATACCATAAAAAACAGGATCCACCACTGAACCCTGCAGCACCCCACTGGAAACCACTTTCTAGTTGCCAAAAAAAATTGTCAGTAATTATTCTTTGCTTCCTGCCATGGAACCAGTTTTATATCCAGCTTGCTGCATTCACCTGGATTCCAATGGTTTATTCTTTTTAACCAGTCTGCTACAAGGGAGCTTGTCAAAAACACTTTCCTCAACTCCATGTCCATCTCATAAACTGCACTGTTTCCTCAGTCCTCCTCGTCACTTAGTTTCAACTGAAGTTAGTCAAGCACAATTTTCCCTTAACAAATCCATGCTGATTATTGTTACAACAATGCTTTATTTTTAATATTGCTTGGAAGATTTGAGTTTTGAAGGATTGTGGAGGTAGCAATTTCAAAGTTTCGAGGTTTAATCTTACCTTTAATATCCTCCTAATGCTAGAGGAATTTATAGATCGAGGGTGAGATGAGGCTGTGGAGGAATATGAAGATGAGGGCATTGATTTTTAAATTCAGTGCTGTGATAGGCAGGATATAGACAAGCAGAAACCAGTCTGTATCATCTGTACCATTAAGAAGTCATGTTATCTTCCCCCCCCCCTCCCCCTACTCTGGTAGCAATAATTAGCAGTCAATTGATGTTGTGCTTTGAGTACAGTTCACAGTTCAATAGAAAATCCTTCTCAATTTGAGCAACAGTGATCAGTAGTGGAGTCGTGGAAAATGCATCAGTGAACTTTTGGAGAATTGCTAGCTGTGACCTTTGAAATCCCTTGCTGCCATTTGTTTCAAAATAATGGTATAGTCTGAGTTATTGAGCAACTCTACAGGAGATTTGTTAGCATGTTAGATAAGACTGGGGATAAGTCCTAGTGAGTTTCAGGGTTGGAGGTGGGATGGAGGAGACCTTTTGTATTAAGACAGGAGGATGGAAACTCTGCCACTTTCCCACCTCTCATAGAGTGGGGTGGGAGGGGCTTTCTTAAAATTCACTCATGGCATGAGTGAAAAGCCTGCCCCGAATTTGCTGTCATCATCCCCACCTCTCTGACTCCACTTCAGTTGGTGCCTTACATCCTGGGAACTCCATCTCCAATTCACAGAATCTGATCATAGCATTGTCACAGTGCAGAAGGAGGCCATTTGGCCTGTCAAGTAAACACTGGCTTGGATCATATTGTCTTAGTGCCAAATTGCTGCCTGTTCCTCATAACCCTGCACATTATTAAAATTGAAACAATCAAGAATGTTTCAATTGAACTAGTGCTGCCTGGAAGGATGGTGGCGGCATTCCAAATCTGAGCCATGAAATTTTCCCCACCATACACTTGTTTCTTTTGCAGACCACTGTAAATCTATAGCCTCCTGATCCCATGATCCTTTTACAAGTGGGCACAGTTTCTCCCTATCCACTCTGTTTGAACCCCTCGGATTTTGAAAATTTCTATTCAATTTCCTCTTCACCTTCTCTTGAATGAAAGCATTCTCCCATCTGTCTTCATAACTGAAGTGTCTCATCCTTCAGCCACTCTCATGTAAAGCTCTTCTGCACTCTCCCCAGTGCATTCGTACCCTTGCTATTGTATGGCATTCAGAACTTCTGAGGTCTAACCAGTGTTTTAAGAGTTCATCACAACCTTCCGGCTCTTGTACTCAACACCCTTATGAATGAAGCCTAGAGTATTGTGCTTTATTAACAGCTCTTTACCTGTCTGGCTACCTTCAAATCTTTAAGTACCTATGCCCTAGTTTTCTATCTGCTCCTGCACATCTCTTAGTTTAAAACTTCAATGGTAGTATTCCATCATCCTCTGTTTACAATGCTTCCAGGTTTTTGGGTTTCTGTGAACTTTTGAAATTGTTCCCTGCACACTATGCTCTAGTTCATTGTTATAATGCAATAGTGGCTGAAATGTAGGAACAGGAAGAGGTCCTCCAGCTTATTGAGCTAGTCCCACTAATCTGCAGGATCATGGTTGATCTTCTGTTTCAGCACCATACTTCTCCTCTCTACACATACCCCTGATCCCTTTAGCTTCTCAAATCTATCCATTTCTTCCTTACTCAGTGAATGGCCTGGTGCTGTTGGTAGTGCAAGGAGGTAACTCTTGGGGGTGGAATATCCACCTCCTGGCTCAGCCATGCAACAACTAAATGACCCTTTGGAAATCAACTCCAGTGGCAGGGTTCCTATTACTAGTAGATTGTTGGGAGTCCCAATAGATTTTGTAATGGATAATGGTTTTGGGGTGGGTTTAGAGTTACTGCTGTGATTTTAAATTCTGCTTTGTTTTGCAGAGATGGTGATTTAGCTGATACTGCTGCTCATCCATGGGAGGAATATAAAACAGAATTGCAGTATTGACTGAGCTGTCATTGGTGATTGCTTCACAATGTTTTAACAGTTTCTAAAAACAATTGTAGTTGAGGATGATCATTAACCTGAAATAAATGAGTTTCCAACTGAGCCTTTTATTTTGGGGGGGTTAGTGCATTGTCAAAGAGCTCATAGCACAGAACACTGATGGTAACACAGAGGTTCTGAGTTTAAATTCTGACATGATCACTCTGAAAGATTCTTCATCATGGTGAAAGGTTGGGGTTGTTTTCTTTGAAACAGAGGCTGAGGGGAGTTTTAATTCCACAGCATAATATTATGATGGACATCAGTGGAGTGGCTTAGAGGCAGATTTCCCACCAGCCCTAAGGGTGACAGGGGCAGAAGCCCTCACATTTGAGAAGCATTAAGATCTGCACCTGTGATGCTAAAGCATACAAGGTTATGGCCACAGTGCTGGAAAATGGGATTAGAATAATTAGTGGTTGTTCTTGACTGGCATAGATTCAACGGGCCGAAGGGCCTTTCTTTTTTGGGCCGTAGACCACTAGACTCTGACCTGTCTCCTGTAGGAAATAGGTCAATTGGAGGCATTGACTTAAAGCGCTTTGTGAAAGGATTAAAATAAGTTTCAGAATTTGTTTTTCATACAGAGGGTGATGGGTGTCTGGCACTGAAAGGGCAATGAAGGCAAGATTCCCCAGTGTGTTTGGAAAAACACTTAGATGTGCATTGAAGCGGCATAACCCACAGGGTCACAGTCAAGAACTGGATGGTGCTTTTCTTCCCATTTTAATTGAATTTCATTTCCTGAAACACAGTTTCTCCTCCTCAGGTGTCTTAGCTGCTCACAAGATTACAGCAAGTTCGCCAGACCAGGATTTGCCCACTGTTGGAGGTCTGAGGGTATGAGGCACTGTTTGCTTTTCCAGTCCACTGTAACACTAACCCTTTTTTTCACTTTGTGGGGCCGAGCATAACGAATCTTGTGAAAACGACCTTCGCTGGCTGTGCACAACATAGCGTGGTATGTGTGTCTCTGTGTGTGAATGTCCCACCTGTGTTTACATATCAGGGTTGTTTCTAGCTGTGCTGCAGTGTAAATTTTAGCATAGGTATTCTTCTAACTGTGTGACAGTGCTGGGGCTGAGGCAGTATTGGAGAGTTCATGCTTAAAATGCTTCAATTATTTCTGCTGGACCTGCAAACTGACTTCTGTTTTGACCTATGTCAGTTTTTCCATCCAATCTGGTTTCGCTTTGTTCTGCATTGCCCTCAAAGGAAATTGTTGCCTTAAGAGCAGTTTGCTAAATCTCTCTTTTTTTTTTGAGTTAAGATTTTTCTTTCGAAAGAAACCAGCAGTGACAGCCTGCTGTACAAAGCAAACAGTCTGCTGTGCACTCTAAACACGTGACTCCCTGTTGCCTAAACCTCAATCGATTTGTGTCTATCACTAGAGTGGCAGAAAAATAACACTGCCAAAATGATCACTCCCTGTTTACAAATCTGCTGCATTGAGTCACCAAAGTACTCAGTAGAATTTCACGTAGAGATGATTAGCAAATAATTATAAAAGGGCATGTTGCATTTTCAAAACTGGAATTAATCACATTTGACTGTTCATGCAGAGTGTAGGAGATGGTTGCAAATTCAGATTTGCATTCAACTTGCAGGAACATCCGCAACTTTGAGGAGAAGGAACAAAGCAAGGCATGAAGACTTTAGTAAAACTTCTTATATCCTCCTTGCAATCGAATCTCCTGAATAAGCAGAGCAGTGTTACCGAATCTCTGATCTGGTTCGTGCTCTTGTGATTTGATAATGATGTCAGAAAGCTTTTTCACATAAAAGGATGCGGAATCACCTGGAATTTTTTTCCCTTTCAAAATCGGAGTTTGGTGGGAGATGGCCGGAGTTCAATTGACAATTTCAAAACTTACATTGGTAGATCTTTGTTTTTTCAGTAGCATTAAGAGTCTCCGAATGAATGCAGGAAAATGGAGTTAATTGGAAGATGGAGCATGCCATGGGGTCTGGCTGTCCTAGTCATGGTCTTATGACTTTACTTGTTGAAGCTGTTCCTGAAAAGGAGGGAGTGAATGGGACCAAGTCCAGTCTGAGATCAGTGGTTCTGATCGCTCCAATGACTTTTATGACGTTTTAACCACAGACAGAATGTCTATTGAATCATTGTGGTTTGCATAATTGTATTTTAACTTTAGGGAAGTGAGTTAGAAAAACTGAATTGTGTGTGATGCACATTCATTAATCTTTCCAGTTCTTTTTCTTTAATTTTGTAGAAACTTGGTGTCAATTTCTCCCTGAGCAACAAGGAGACTGTTCAAAAGAGCGATGTACTATTTCTTGCTGTCAAGCCACCCATTATCCCCTTCGTACTGGATGAAATTGCTCCTGATATTGAAGACCGCCACTTGATTGTGTCTTGTGCTGCTGGAGTCACCATTAACTCCATAGAGAAGGTAGGGCTTGAGTCTAATGATTTTTCACTTGAATTTTGTTTAAGTACCAGTACAGTCATTAAAATGTCAGTGCAATTGTGAATTTAGGAAGATCTGAGGTTATGGTTTATGATGTTTGTGGAGCTAATTTCTGTACAATGTAAAAGAAATTTGTGTGAAATATTTGATAAAGAAAATTTAAAAGTTGAATGGGTTAAAGTTCTTCCAGAGTGAGTGCAGGTCTGCCATGATGAATACCCTCCTGTGTTGTCACATTCAATGAATGCCAATTGGCCCACATCACTTGATGTGGAGAATGACCTTTTGTTTGGGGGCACACAGGCATCATTTCAGATACAGCATTCCACGAGGAGCAATGCGATGAGTAACTAAGCTCACCCGCTTGCTCGGTGGCTGATTGAAAGAAATTTGTTCAGGATAATTTGCACTGAAAAATGTCTTTGCTTTCAGTTTTATAGTCTGTGTTTCAAACACTTTTTTTATGGTTCAATTTTCAGACTGTTTTGACACGTCTGTGCGGATTCAGATTCCCAGTGGACGCACTGAGTCCCAGTTTCTGGACTGAACTGCGAAGTGCACAATCAGTGTATAAGATAGCAGCTCAATGCCTCTGCCCCAAGCCCTGACATGTTGCTTCTCCAAATGGAATATTAATGTATGTGAAAGCTGGTGACCACTACAGGCTTTAGGTTGAGAATAAAGTATGGGAAGAAGAAAATGCTAAATTCTTACAAACTTGACAACTGCAAAGGTTGTTTTAGAAATTTAGCTGGCTGTTTGTGGTTTTTAAATTCAGCTACATTGTAGAATGCGTGTCACACGCCAAATGTCTTGCCATCAATCTGGTTATGGTCTAATAGTTTAAAGTAACGTTATATTTTTAACATGCAAAAACATGGAAATCAGCAATGTTGAAAATAGAGTAACTGTCTTACAGCAGTAGCTGGGTGCTACAGATTTACTGAGTACTGACTCCCTTGGCCATTCCAAACAACTGCAATACACGCTCTCAATGCTTTCTGATAATGTCATGAGTGCCTCCTCACCACATGGATCTAGTTGACTGGCAGTGCAGGCTAGTGGGACTGACTCTCTCCTACCTGCTCTGTGTACTTTTGAAGGAAAGATTCTTCCTCCATCTATCCTGTTTTGAAAGCTGTGTGCAGTAGGAGTCTCCAAGTGAATGAAGTCCTCCTGACCTGGTTAGCATTCAGAATGCAGTCTATTTACATTGAAGGACTCCACCTATAATTTTAAGTAACTACTTGATAAACTCAAGGCAGAGATTTATTCAAAGGAATGGTAGCTAAATGTGAGGTAGAAAGGCATAAAAGGATGTAGTGATGTGATTCTACAAAGAGGGATGAGAAGAAACTGGGATAGGCCAATTGGGCTGAATGGCCTGCCATTATGTAAATAGGTTATACAGTTTAGCTATGGCACTTTTTTTACATAGCTGCTTGGTATTGCAGAAACTGTCCTCTGTGCACCAATTCCCGAAAGTGATCCGCTTGATGACCAACACCCCTGTGATTGTACGAGAGGGGGCTACGGTGTATGCCACAGGAACGCACGCAGAGGTCGAAGACGGGAACCTGTTGGAGCAACTGATGGCCAGTGTCGGGTACTGTGTGGAGGTGGAGGAGGATCTGATTGATGCAGTCACTGGGCTCAGTGGCAGTGGCCCTGCCTATGTATGTACCAAGCCTGTCCCTTTTGGGGCACAAAATACAGCCATCAACAAGTGCTCAAATTTGAGAAACTAAAGGGCCAGAGAAACACCATTTTCCACAAGATTCTTAGAACAATGTGGGATGAGGAACATCAGTAATGTAGTTTTTTTTTAAACTACTACTTCTTTCCAAGAAAGTCACAAAAAGTACATGAATTGTGAAGGCAGGAGCAGAATCTCCAGGGACACTACTCCAGATTCTCAGTATCATCAGTCAGGACAGCAAGCCATGTACAATATTTTAAATGCAGTTATGAATAAGAACCTGAGGGGAGGCAATACCTAGTGGTATTATTGCTGGACTGTTAATCAGGAGCAAAAACAGAAGTTGCTGGAAAAGCTCAGCAGTTCTGGCAGCATGTGTGAAGAAAAAAAAATCAGTTAATGTTTCGGGTCTGGTGACCCTTCAGAACTGTTCTGAAGAAGGGTCTCTGGACCTGAAATGACTATTTTTTTTCTCTTTCGGTTTTTGTTAATCCAGGAGACCCTGGTTTGCATCCTGCTATGATAGATTGTGGAATTTGAATTCAATTTTAAAAAAACCCATGAATCCATTGTCGATTGTTAAGAAAAATCCATCTGATTCACTGATGTGCTTTAGGGAAGGAAAGAGCCATCCTTGCGTGGTCTGGTCTAACATGTGACTCCAGAACCACAGCAATGTGGTGACTCTTAACTGCTCTCTGGGTAATTAGGAATGGGCAATAAATGAGAACCTATCCAGTAATGCCGTCATCCCATGAATGGATTTTTTAAAAAAAAACTCATAATGTAAAGCATTTCCAATACAGGCCATTAGTCTCTTGAGCGTAAGCACACAACACAAAGATAACCAGATTAAAGATCTACATAACACATCTGATATCCCAAATTCATTCAGTAACTACTTGTTATCATGTAGATAGATTGAAGAAGCTGGGACTGTTTACCTTGGTGAAGAGAAGGTTGAGAGGTGCTTTTGAGGGGTATTCAGTAACAGAAATGACAGAGTACATCAGGGGAAGGTAGAAAGATTGGGAATGAGGATACAGTTAAGGTAATACTGGCAAAAGAAGCAATGGAGATGTGAGGAAAATATCTTCCAATGCAGCAAGTAGCTGGTTGTTGGAATGTGCTGCCTATGTGTGGTGGTGAGAGGTTCAATTGAGGCATTCAAGAGGAAGTTGGATTGTTATCTGAAAGGAAGGAATATGCAGGTTCATAGGGAGAAGGTGGAGGAATGATACTAGGTGTATTGCTCACTCAGAGAACCAGTACAGACATGATGGGCCAAATGGTCACCTTCTCTACTATAATGATTCTGAGAAAAGATGGGGGTAAATTGCAAGATGTTTACAATGATGGGGATGAGTTTGAAGAAGACCTGAGAGGTTTGTGTGGAGTATAAACATTAGTGTTAACTAGTTGGGCTGAATGGCTTATTTCTATTTAATTCCTAGATGTAAACTTGCATTTTAAAGATATTTAGTAGGAAATCTTTTTTTCTTCCTTCTTGTGCAAACCTTTGTTTTACTTCCATTCATCATTTGGCTTTGTAAAATGTTTTGAGAAGAAGAAATATCAAGTGATTTTGTTTTATCATTCCCATGCGAATTAATTCACTTATTCTTACACCACAATCTTTGGACCTCCTTATTCAAGTAAGTATCTTTAGATCTTAACTTGTGTTTGGGCCATTTTTGATTTTTTTCAGTCTCTCATTTCTGAACAGTCCTCTTGTTTTACTAAGCCTTTAGATTATAGAGATGTATAGCTTGGAAACAGGCACTTTGGTCCAGCTCATCCTTGCCAACCAGATTTCCTAAATTTAATCTAATCTCATTTGGCCCATATCTCTCTCAACCCTTTCTACTCATGTACCCATCCAGCCGCCTCTTTAAATGTTGTAAGTGTACCAGCCTCCTCCACCACCTCTAGCAGCTCACTTCCTTGATGCACCACCCTCCATGTGAAAACGTTGTCCCTTAGGTCCCTCTTAAATCCTTCCCCTTTAACCTTAAACCAATGCCTTCTAGTCTTGGACTTCTCTACCTTGGGGAAAAGACTTTGGCTATTCAGCCTATCCATGCCCCTCATGACCTTTATAAACCTCTATAAGGTCACCCCTCAGCCTCTCCCTATAGCTCAAACTCCAATCCTGGCAACATTTGTATACATCTTTTCTGAATACTTTCAAGTTTCACAACATCTTCCCTGTAGCAAGGAGACCAGAATTGCATATATTATTCCAAAAGTGGCCTAACCAATGTCCTGTAGAGCTGCAACATGACCTCCCAACTCCTATACTCAGTGCACTGACCAATAAAGGCAAATGTACCAAATGCCTTCACTACTGAATCACCTTGTGACTCCACCTTCAAGCAACTATGAACCTGCATTCCAAGGTCTCTTTGTTCAGCAACACTCCCCAGGATTTCTTATCATTAATTGTATAAGACCTGCCCTGATTTGCATTTCCAGAATGCAGCATACACAAATATCTAAATTAAATTCCATCTGCCACTTCTTGGCCCATTGGCCCCCCGATGAAGGTCGCGTTGTTCTCTGAGGTAACCTTCTTTGCTATCCACTACACCACCAATTTTGGTGTCTGCTTTTTTCCCCCCTTATTTATTAATGGGATGAGGATGTCCTGGCTAGGCAGCATTTATTGTCCATCCCTAATTGCCCAGAGGGCAGTTCAGAGTTAACCACATTGCTGTAAGGTATGACCAGGTAAGGATAGCAGTTTCCTTCCTTAAAGGACATTAGTGAACCAGGTGGGTTTTTATGACCATCGACAATGGATTCATGGTCGTCATTAGATTCTTAATTCCAGATACTTTTAGAGTTCAAATTCCACCATCTGCCATGGCGGGATTTGAACCTGGGTCTCCAGAATGTTATCCAGGTCTCTGGATTAACAGTCCAGTGATAATACCACTAGGCCATTGCCTCCCCTGCAAACTTACTAAGCATACATCATCTATTCAGATCCAATTCATTTATATAAATGACAAAAAGCAATGGGCCAAGCACTGAACATTGCGGCACACCACTGGTCACAGGCTTCCAGTCTGAAAACCAATCCTCCACCACTACCCTCTATCTCCGACCTTAAAGCCAATTTTGTATCGCTCTCCGTGAATTCGATGCGCCTAATCTTGCTAACCAGTCTACCATGTGGAATGTTGTTGAACATCTTAATGAAGTCGACGTATACAACATCCATTACTCAGCCTTCATCTATCTTCTTTTGTCACTCCGTCAAAAAACTCAATCAAGTTAGTAAGACATGACTTCCATGCACGATGCCATGTTGACTATCCCTAATCAATTCTTATCTTTCCAAATACATGCAAATCCTGTCCCTCAGAATCCCCTCCAATGTACCCATTACTACATAGCTTAATAAAACCTCCCAAGGAAATTTTGTGAAGAAATTTGAGAAGGCAGGTGATTGTCAAAGTTTCCAATATTTGTTTCCCATCTCTTTCTCAGCCTGTCTCATCTAAACATGAGCTTATCTAAAACTCAATTTTCCCCCACCTAATTTATACCAATTCCTTTTCTTTCATCTATCCGTCACTCCTAGTCCCCTGTTCTCTATTGGGTTTAGATCTGACAACATCTGTTGTATAATTAGTTTTAAATCCTTCCTTGGTCTGAATTATCTTTATTTTTTGTAACCACCTCTGCCTCAACAATCCTGAAATCTCTCTTCTCATCCCTTGTACATCCTCAGTTTTCAACTTCAGTTGTCTCGGATTCAAGCCCTTGCATTATCTCCATAAACCTCTTTCTACCCCCTCCTTTTTAAGCTGCTACTTAACATCCTACCTCTTTGACCAAGCTTGTCATTGCCTGTCCTGAGTATCTCTTCCTTATTTGACTTGATAGTAGATTTTTGTGTTTTTGTTTTGGCACAAAGCACATTGGAAAGTTTACTGCATTAAAGGTGATGTATAATTCAAAGTTGCCAATGTTATAGATGTGTAGATTTTGATTGAGTGACTCTTAGGCGTCCAGAGTGAAATTGTCCACCTCTGAGACAGCTGTGGATCACCTCATCGATGTTGGAGGTTGGTGAGAGGAATGAAAGAAAAGGATTTGCAAATGAGTTGAAGAGTGTATGTTCCACGACAAAGAAATGTAATCTGATTATTTCCAGGCTTTCACAGCAATAGATGCTTTAGCAGATGGTGGAGTGAAGATGGGTCTCACTCGTAGGTTGGCTGTTCGACTTGGTGCTCAAGCATTGCTGGTTAGTAAATCACTGTCATTTCTTAATCTCTCCACCGTTTACCTGCAGTATATATGGATAAAGATCTGCTGGTGTTATTGCCGCTCAGGAGCTGCTCCATTTAAACTTCTGTATTGGTTTTGTGCATCAACTTGCCAGTACGTTATTTGGTTCGAAAATTTGAGTCTTGTCCATTTGAGGTGAAGTAATTGTAATAAGTTACTGATTTGTTCAAATGCAAACCTTTGCAGTAGTTTTTCTGCAACTTTGATTTTCTAAACTTGTGGTGCGTTTTGTTTTAAATGGCAAAGGATTGTAAGTCCTCCATGTTTCTTGTTTCTCTGTCGACAGGGAGCAGCAAAGATGCTGCTGGAGTCAGAACAGCACCCTGGGCAACTGAAAGATAATGTTTGTTCACCAGGTGGTGCAACCATCCATGCTATACACTTCCTGGAGAGCGGGGGGTTCCGCAGTCTACTCATCAATGCTGTTGAGGCATCATGTGTGAGAACAAGGTGTGTGTCTGTTTCGTTTCATTTGTTTTTTGTTTGCCCTTCCCCTGTCAACTGCAAGTCCACCTCTTGTTCACTAATTCCTCTTTTTTGTTTTAGGGAAGGAAACTGCCATCCTTAACTAGTCCAGCCTACATGTGACACCACTCCTAGGTTCCCTCTAATTCTTTCCACTTCTGTGCAGACCTCATACTTTCTGAAACTGTAGGTTGATGCTGGGAACAGTGTTGACCTTTTTTTTAGTGGCTACATAGCTTAAAAGGAGCTTTGCTGCAGACCCACAGATGTGGTTGACTCTTTGGGAATTAGAAATGGGTAATAAATGCTGGTCCAGCCAGTGACACCTGAATCCTGTAAGTGGATTTTAAAAATCTCTAAATTTTTAGGGGAAAAAAAGTTTATTTAAGGTGGCCTCTTTCTCCGTTGTTTCACTAGACTAATTTTGGGATAAGTTTGTTTGGCCCAAGTTACCAACTCCCTTTCTCCTCCTTACCTTCCCTCATCCAGTGCTGCTTCATTGTTTTGTTGAATAACCAAGATTTGATATTGGCTTTCTTGGTGGAAAGAAAGCCTACCTTGCAAATTACTTTTGTTTTGCAAAGGTGTATGTTTGATATGAATGCACAAGTAAAGAGAGCAGACCCTTATCAGGGTGCAGACTGTTCCACACCTTGCTATAAGAATTTATTCCACACATTTCGCAACTTGCTCTTGCACTTATCCATGAGTCCTTTCCTCTTTTATTTTTTCTTCTTCTTTGTTCAGGGAGCTGCAGTGTATGGCTGACCAAGAGACCGTTTCCCCTGCTGCTATCAAAAAGACCACCCTGGACAAGGTGAAACGGACTGCCTCAAAAGCTGGCATCAGCCTCTTCAACAATAAATACCCTGGAAGCAAGAAATTCTAAGTCCAGAATGGTTACTGAAACTGACATTTTAGGCAGGCGAGAATGAAACCTGGGTATTATTACTAATGGTTTGATATATATTCAATGAAGATCAGTGGTTTTGTTTTTGTAACAGCTGTCTACTGATACTGATTTTTAAAATATGAAGGTAAGCATACATACCAAGTTCTGTGGAGACCAATGGTTGACTGTGCCGTCTTTGTGCAAAGTAATATTGGTTGTAATTTTACAGCAGTCTGTTGCTCCCTTTTTTCTTTCCTTCTGAATTATTGTTCCCTAATGCACAAAACCAATATTGATTCTTTTTTGTATGAATTTTCCTGACAAGCAGCGCTTTCGCATTGCTCTCTGCTTAGTCAATTTTTTTTCTTCTCTCTTCGCCCCTTCCCCCACCCCTCTTTTCTTTTTCCCCCCAATGCTGGCACTAGTCCTATTAATTCCATCGATTTCAATTCTGCTAACAACTCATTTTTTTTTTAAACCTGACTTTTGTTTTTCAAAAGGGCATTTTTAATACAATGTCCCTATATACAAGATCAACTACACTACCTTTATCTGTTATTGAAGAAATGAATCAGGTTTGTTGGACTGTTCAGAGTTGACTGTTATTCAAGTGAAAACTAATTGTGTCCTAGAAATCATTTTCAGGGATCTAAACTTTAGCAGAATGGCAGTGGAGATTTCTCCAAAGATGACTGGCATTTTGTCCAGCTGAATGATGATTCAGCATAATGCAGAATGAAACTTGTACTTCATTTGATATGAAACGTGATCACGTCTTGAGATTTAGTTTTCCTGTCCACGATTGGCTAGGGGTGTCCCACCCTTCATTCTCAGACCTCCTGGGAGATGTGCAGCACAGGCTTATGGATCATATTATGAATTTGTAATTAATGGGAAGATTAATTCAGCTATCTTCCAGCTTTAAGTGCACAACTGTTGCCTAGGCTGAAGCAATGATTAATAATTGGACTCTCAAACCTACATATTTATGATTAGAAATATAAATTTTTAATTTGGGCTTTGATCAGATTTCTAACTTTCAAGCGTTTCGATGTCAATACACTTGCCACTTTTTGAATTACTTGTCAATGGCATTGAAGCTTGCTTCAAAGCGAAGTAAGAAATAAGCTTTTTTTTTGTGTAGAATAATTGGACAATCTTGCATACCCCTGGTAACAGGACTATTGTCTGTTCTGGTGTCTCGTACACTTTAGCTATAGAGAAGAAACTTCAGGTCAATAGTGTATTTAGTGTTAATAAAACAAGTGGTGGTAAAGCCTTATTTATATGTGAATTTTATATGCTACATTCACATTTTCTAGCTCAGAACAAAAGATTGAGAGACTTTTGATCTGGTGAATGTTGTGAATTCCTGGAGTGTTTGTGTACTTGTAATGTATGACCTAAAGTAGTGAGTTCCACCCACTTGTCCTAATGGTTAGTGCAAGATACTGTCAATATCCTCCAGGCTAATACTCAATTCTACAGCAGAAGATAAATTGAGCAAAAGAACAGATTTGTAGATCAACAGTTGCTTTGGAAAAATCTCTTTCAGAATGAGATGTCAGGATAGTGCCTTTATATAGTTTCCTACTACTTTAAAAATAAATTCTTCAGGTTTTTAGTGCTACAGAGCTTGCTGCTTATCTAGCAAAGCACAATTGCTGTCCGGTTAATGGTTAGAGGTATTTACTGATGAAAGAAATTAAACTGCAACACCTTTTTTTAAAATATCTGGGCCAGATTGAGGTGATTAGCGAGTCATGGTGTAATTGTGCCAGCAATTGACTTGATAAAAAGTTCACCAATCTGTCGATCTTTTTTTCCAGCTAAGTTCTTCTGATTGCTAGTTTTGTAATTTTTTGAACTTGTTAAATTCGACCTTGCAGAATAAGTCAATGGTATGCTTCCTATATACCAAGAAAATGAAAAATTCTATGATTGGCTGATAATCTTTCTTCTCTTCGAGTCAGTCTTTGCTTTGCAATATTGTACTATTACATGTGGTTTACAAGTGAAACACCAAAAATATTTTAACAGGGCCTGCATTCTTCCCAATGCGCAAATAGAAGTGGAAAAGAAGAGCCTGCCTCTCTCTAATTATGCAGGTCAAGTGGCTACTGACATTGTAGCTGGACAGTCACCTTTTTTTGACTTAAACATTTTTTGCTTTTTAACCCTTGCCAGCTTTTCCTGTTGTCTTTTTTTCACATTTGCGAAATGGCTGTAAGGGGCATCTGCTCAAGAGATTGGACC